TCCGCAAGTTGTTGTGTTTTCGTCTTCTGATGGGAGACGAATTGGGCGATTTCTGATGGGGAAATCGCGACAGTTAGCTGTAGGCGTAACTGCGACTGTTAATCTGACAGAAATAAATGAAAATAGACCATAAGCATAGTTGACTAGTTTCTACAAGTTGATCGTTATCAATTCAGGTAAAAAGCATGCAGTGAGGATTGGACAATCCTCGCTTGTTTCATGCAGAATATTACGCACGATTGCGGAACCTGCCACGTCGGTTCTTTCTACGATAATATCACTGGCTGTGAACGGTCTGCGCACGTACAATACGTACAAAGCACAGACTTCACTTCAACCGTGAATAATCATGGTCCGGGTCACGAATCCCGTTCCTGATAGAATTCTGTCACAATCCCACCAGCGAAGCCGCGAACGCGATCTGCCCATGTCACCGTTGGTCTGGCCATTTTGGTCATAATCTCGCCGTCCGTACGTCGTCCGCCAGCTCCAAAAATACTACTTCCAACTCATATATCTATTTCAAAACAACTTGATATTTTATATAAAATATATTTCAAAAAGACAATTCGATGCAAAGCAACACTGTATGAGATGCGAAACAATCTTGAAGAAGAAAGTAGTAAGACTAAGGATACAGGATTTTCTAAACTTTCGGCAACTTTCGTTATCCAATTCAAACTGGATAATTACAAGGCATGCCTCCAAAACGGTCTTGTGTTTGCAAAGACGCTGTCCCCCAACAGTGCGGAACGGCATTCTGAGCACCCGGAAATTTTTCAGTCTACTGTTGACTGATTCTTGCCTTGCTCCATCACGTCTTTAGTCGGTGCTTCATGACGGTTGTTGCGAATCACAACTTTATCAAGATTGCCCCTGTATCCTTGGTCTGCAATACAACGCTGTCTGTCCTTTAGTTTTGACCTCAGACCGTCGGGCTTATCAAAAATCTTTTTGTCATTTTTGCCTGCTGGAAAAGGTCCATTCACCCACCCAATTTTGTTGTGGTGAACTGCAACTCCAATTTTGTAGGCAAGACCGGCCTTCTTGTACTTTGGAGAATACCATTTTGTGGAAGGGAATTTCCTTGGTTCCCAAATCCAAAAATGGACCCCATCAACACAAGCTACATACACTTCTTTATATTTATCAATGTCATCAAATAGCCATACAATCTAAAAGTTCGGAATGACAAGGAAAATGATTCTTGAGGTGAATAATCGTCAATGCAGTGGTGGCAGAGCAGCCTACTTACCTTTTGTTCCTTGAGAGCTTGAATGGCTTCAACATACTTCCAACAACAAAGTAATGCAGTCTTCTCGGTCACACCTCCATGTCCAGCCAAGGTTTCTTTGGTAGGATACTGCTTCAAGAACCGCAAAGCCAACAGGAGATGAGTAGGCTTTGGGTGTTGGTGAAATGGGATCTTGATAGGTAAAAGAACAGTCGAACATGTCGGACAGTTAAGTCGGACATTGGTGATATCGAACACGGACAGAAGTACAGTTCGAGTACGTACAGAGATGGATAAGTATTGAAGGTAGATCTACTCTGTGACTAGTTCGTGAAGAACATGTGCGTATGTGCTTTATACGCCGCGACAGCTGGTGAGAGCTGACGCAGACGGCTTCCGGAAGAGATTT